GCATTATGACAAGCAAATTAATGAATCCATAATTGTTTTGTAGAGAAACATAAATCGTAAAGCGCAACTAAGATGCTGAGAATTCATTTATGCCTTCTTTTTTTGATCCTTTTAAAATTTTGGTTGTGGTCTCTCGCAAAATAATATCCTCAAATTTTCTATAGGAGTTAAAAACATGTTCGTTAAGTTTTCAAATGTAACTGATGTGGATAAAATTTCTCCATTTCCATTCCTCGTCTATGTAGTGTGCAAATGCTCTTGTCAATGCCGCATATTTGCATATTATAACGAAGGCGACCAATAGACCAACAGAATACAGAATCTGAACTGCAAAATGTCTACTCCTCATTTTTGAGATGCTAGAATAACCAGCGGAAAAGTAAGCATAACCACATAGACTTAGGCATTAGAAATATTTGTAGGCGGGAAAAAATTACTCGTGATAACTCAAATGCAAGGCATGAGCATTTAATATAAAATGTTGACAAGGATACCTTTTTCATTAAGCGGCAATGAATCGATCAAACACGATTAACCATAGATAATGGAATGCTTCTTCGTCAAGGCGAAGAAAAAGACAAATCGATGAACGCAATCACAGAGATTTTAACTACCAAAGCAGCATGTGCACCTCTTATTGTTATTTTAAAAGGACATAAAGAGAAAGAGAGTTCTCATGATAAGAAAAAAATAAATTCAATTTAAAAACAACAACATATTGCTTGTATTTACTTACAACCTATAGGAGATAATCATCTGCGATTTGGTTAATATGTTTTTTTTTTTCATTTCAGATGAATATAAATTTAAAAGAAACAAAAAATTTCACTTGCAAATATTATATATTAGCTTAAGATGATGGATCCAAGATTCACCATAAACTCGTCTTTTACATCTTTTCGTGTAAACACTCTGGGGGCATGCTGTAAAATAACGCCAAGTAAGCAAATCTCATAAGATATAAGATAAAAGCGAAATTTTTGCTAAACACTTTCAAGATATTCAATTCTATTATCACAATCCTCCGATCAATGTAATCCAAAAATTTTATAAAAAAAAAGATTTTCTACATATATATTAAAAAAAAAAAAAAATCAATTCGCCCCCTGCATTCATATTCGCTCTCTTCGTAATTGTATAATATTAAAAGTTTTAAACATTCTTTATTTATTCACACAATTCATTAAGATTTTCAGCCGCCTCAACATTAAACGAACGACAAAACCGTGCTGGCTATCGAATTGATCCAAAATACTACTACTCAATAAATAATATATGAATTTATTAAATAAATCGGCTTCACGCTTAGAGTTTCAAAATTTTCAATCTCTTTTCAAAAAGAAATTCATATTTTCAGATCAAATTCCAATTGAAATGTTGCGCATTCTCTCATCATTTGACATACTGTTGTTATTGTTGTTGTTATTATTAATATTTATCAGGTCAGTGTACAGAATATATTATTAATTTTTCTTTATGGTATTTAATTATTAAAATATGAGGTAATTGAAAGTGTTTCATGTACGTTTTATGTAAAATTTCACACACAATTGTATTCCAATTAAATGATACTTCATTCTCATCCATATAATACACTTATCCATCCTTACATATATTTTAGGCAATTAAGTGGATTTCTACCATTTTTAAAATAAAAAGAAATATATATGTATATATGTATATATAACATATATATCGACACATGGCCTAAGAGTGATGAGACGAAAAGTCTGACAATATCTACACCTATGTACGTCAATATATTTATATATCATATTTATATATATATATATATAATATTATATTAAGAAGGAGTGAAAGGGAAATCCAAAACAAATTTGAGAAACATATAAAGCAAGAAAAAAAAAAAAAAGATTGATTCAAAGCATGAGATAACAAAAACAATTTCAGTTACAAATTAAAGACCATCAGCTTCCCATCTTTAAAAATAAAACTACTTTTAGTTCTTTTCTTTTGATTTTTTTTTTTTGTTTTTTTTTTTTGTTTTTTTTGTTTTTTTGGTTTGGAAATCAATCCAAGTTTCTATTTATGTATATTCCATTTAACTTTTCACTTAGAATTTAAGAAAAAAAATGTAAAAAAATAATATATTTTAAAATATATGCATAAATTTAAAAAATATTATCTTTTGTAAATATATAATTTAAAAATAAATACATTTGTAAAAGCAAAATATAAAATTTTTAACTAATAAAAATGGCAAAGAAAAAGAGAAAACGTAGATAATAAAGAAGTTACAAAAAAGGGAAACGAAAAAAAAAAAAAAAAATTAAAAAATGAACACAATTTCAAATTAGTTAAAACAAAAAGATATTATATAATCTAATCGCTATGAGTAATATCACCCTTTTATAGGGTTATATATATGTGTATAGAAATAATTATAATTTTAGTTATTTAAAAACAAGTAATAAATGTGTATTCGCTTTATAGCGAATCTTAGATACCCACCCACCACATCCACCAAATAGCAAATCGTTCGGAATCGTTTAGACTTTAGATGATAAACCGACGCAATGGCAAATATAATATTTAGATGTCATTAAAAAAACTGTATTTCTATATCGAATTTCGAGTTATTTCTCGAAAATATTTTTGTTGAAAATATATTGAAAATATTTGAATTTGAGTCCAAGTAGTAAAGGCTTATGATAGACTTACAAAATATTTGCCGGATAAGGTTATGTGTACGACTCTGAATTTTAATGTTTCCAAGTTTCACGGACTGACGCGGACACTTGCAAGCCGTCGAATACCGTCTTGCATTTTTTTTTTTTTTTTTTTTTTTTTTTTTAATATATATAACCGAATTTTCGTCTTGGGGTGGTGAATATTGAGAATTGTGTATTATGTTTACATTATATTAAAAAAACAATGTCAGTCAGTGGTATTTATTTTATGTTAAAATTTTAATTAAGAAAACATTAAAATAGCGGTGGCGTTTTCATTAAAACAAATATACATATATATATATATTACGAAATATATACATACGCATATTAGGAAAAATTCAATAATGTCTAATTTTATTTAAAAAAAAAAACATAGAGTAAAAAATAAAGTGTCTTTTAATTAGAAAAGAAAAAAAAAAAAAAACAAATAAATAAATAGAAAATATCCACAAAAAACCCATCTTTCCTAAAATGTATGTATACGAAAAAAACAATTTTCTTACACGGGGCAGAATCTAAAAAATAAAGTAACGTAAGAATATAGAGGTACGCAATAACGCGTTTTATTCGCCTTAGAACAAATTCTGCATATCAATCACTTCCAGTAAATATCCAGTAAATATCTAAAAATTGCAAACTATTTTTGTTAATATATATTCTCTTGAATAAAATTTTCGAACTCCATCATTTGAGAATTTTTGACCAATTTTGAGCTACCTATGGACATGATTGATACGGCGAGAGTAATAACAACAACACCACAGACGAACATTCAGGCACAAAAATCAAGAAGGTAATGCAAAACATTAATGCAAAAAAGGTAGCAAAAGAAAATTTGCCTCAAGTTAAATACGTTTTTCTCCTTTAATTTTGTTCTATTTTTTTGCATTTTTGCAAAATATGCGGAGGAAAAAGGTGAAACTACAGAAAATAACGATTTTTAGTTATTTTAACATGGGATGGGTTTTCTTAGTTGATATTTATTGTTTTATATTAGCTCAATTATCTATTACCAACCAAGATTGGTTCGAAATGGAAAACTTGAAAATTTTTAAATATAGTGAACTGTATGAACGTGTAGAGATGTGCACACGCAATGATATATGAGCTGCGAAGAAAAAGTGAGCTTTGAATTTTTTTTTTGCAAATCAAAGTCTTAAGATAACTTTAACATTAAAGTAAAGCTTAAGAAGGGCCTTTCAAATCAGAAGACAATTGTCTCGATTTGCGTCTAAGAACATTTAGTAAAAATATATGTTAATGTTGTGATAAATATAAGTGAAATTAAAATTGAAATCAATTTTGTCATAACTTCAGAGGGTGGCTTACAAACACACATTGTGTCGGTATAGGTAAAAACGTTGTTAAAGTTGCTGATGATAGTTGTGACCTAAATGTTGTTGTAAATGAGGATATTGATGTCGTTGTTGCTGTTGTGGTAATTGTATTTGTTGCGATAGACTTCCAGCAAGATTACCAGCAGCTACGGCCACAGTGGAATTCGATTGTATCGCACAAGTTGTAGGTGCCGACAGTGATGATGACGATGATGATGACGCCGATACCGACGAAGGTGTAGATGATACTGATGGTGAATTAGAGACGTTGAAGGCTGTACCAGCAGCATTTTGTATCGTATAGTTATTTAAATTCATTACAAATGTACCGCCACTGTTACCACCAGTGTTTGAGACATTTATGAGATTAAGATTTTGAGCTGAATTTATTGCAGTACCAGCTGCATTCACGTGATTTGTTGTTGCTGTAGGAGCATTCGCCGTTAACACCACAGTGGGGGCAGCATACATTTGTCGTTGTTGTTGTTGCGTATGATGATGATGATGGTGATGATGATGGTGTGAATGAGAATGAGAATGTGAATGATGGTGATTGTTGTGATGATGTAAGCGCTGATGATCGGCATTATAAACCTGTACAGTCTGTGTTGGCGGTGGTGGTGGTGGTAGGTTTCTTATGTACAATTGCTGATCAAAACATTCCGTTAACTGTTGTGGCTGCTGTTGCTGCTGCATCTGATATTGTTGTATCTGATAGTGTTGCTCATATTGTTGCTGCAATTGTAATTGCATTTGCTGATGGTGATATGCATCTGTGAGAAATGAGTTATTCGCGTTGTTATTGCTGTTACTTTTAATTGGATTATTTACAACGGTACCACTACCAACACTAGACGTACTACCATTTGCATTAACTGCAACTACATTATGTTGAACTATAGACGGTGGTGATTGTAATGAGATGGTAGTTGATTTCGCCGCTGCCGCTGTTGACGTGGATGGAGTATCCATTAACGCAATTTGTCCTCCGTAACTATAGGACGAAGGCTTAGAGGATGATGATAATGATGAGGCTACAGAAGTGGTAGTGGCGGACGTAGACACAGTAGATGAAGTTGATGTTGTGGACAAAGGTGAGCTAGCATTACGTAAGTTATTACCAACTGACGTGTCATTATTCGTGTTTGTAATACCACTGCTATTAGTTGATGCTAAATCGAAGAAATTATTGTTAAAAAGAGTTTCGCTGTTTAAAAATGAGATAATTTATGTTTTACCTGCTGTAACTGTGTTTGCTGATGATGTTGATATCGTTACGACGGCACCTCCTACTGCAGCCGAAGATGATGAAGGTGTTGTTGTTAAATTTAATGAGTCAAGTCTTTGTCATTTGGCATTACTTTGCAAAGCTGTATTTATTTGGGTCCATAACTCTTTTTTACAAGATTTAGATCTGAGTATATAAAACGATCACTAAGAAAATGCCGAAATCAACCATAAACATTTTTGTTATATTTTACCTCTTAATCGATTGTAACCAATCCTTAAACTGAGCACTGCCCTCGGGTGTTATTTGAAATGCAGCTCGCGCTGCTACAATGATACTGGCAAAATCTTCATAATCAGCAGGCGTTAGATGGTATAATTTTTGATGAATGCATTGAATATACCTTAAAGAACAACGTAAAAACATATTTATTTCATATTTAGTTCAATCGAAAACTGAACTCACATCTGTTGACATTTTTGGACCAATGGTGTTAAAGCCGATCTCATCGGCATCACCAACTGATGGTTATTACGACCCAAGTAATGAGCCGATTCAATGGCTACATCGTGCAATACGAAGGGACTTACAATAGAGTTTACTGCACAAACACAAAATTGGTGGAGATATTGAGAACCCAAAGTTTTCGAAATTCGTAGCAACCATTTAACGTCTTCCCCATACGGAGGATTACGGGCGTATTTGGCTTGTGGACGATCGTCGTGTACACGACGTGCCAAGGTCTCCATAGCTAACATACCCACATTGTAAGCGGCCAAAAGATAACGTAACTGAGCAGGTCTACATATAAAACAGTTGGAAAGTCGTCAACAGTTTTTAAAATCCGCAATTCACAACAAAATTGCACTAATACTTACGTAAACTGATGAGGGTGCCTTTGGCGACCTGATATTTGCTGATGTCCGGCCATAGGTGGTACGGATTGCTGCTGTTGTGGCAAGGGCATTTGCGGAGCTGGTAGAAAAGGGTAAATACCTTGCTGTTGAACCGTCGGATGTTGTTGAGTTGGCTGACGAATTTGATGTTGAGAGGCAACCGTTATAACGCCTTGTTGCGTAGAATGTTGTGGTGGGGGAGGAGCTTGCTGATGGGGACCTGCCTGGCCATAGTAGACAGCAGCAGCTGTTGCAGCTTGCAAATTAGCCTGCAGTGACGAAGGTCCAGCCGAACCTGGAGGACCTTGTGGAGCTGGTATAAACGACGATTGGGGTGGTCCGCACTGCATGGCTGCTGCTTGATAAGCAGCTTGTGGTGGTAACGCCTGGTATGCTCCTGGCTGATGAACAAAAGCTTGCGGCGGAGCTGTACCGGCATTTGGTGCTTGCCCAACTGGGCCAGACTGTTGTTGTGGTGGCGGATAACCTGGATATGATTGCGGTGGTGGCGGTGGTCCCGGTGGTGGCATGTACATTTGCATCTGATTGGGCGCATATGGTATATTGTGATGATACATGCCCTGACAAAATCCATATGGCGGATATGGTGAAAGATTGATAGGTGCTAGTGTAGGCACACCTTGCTGGAAAGGCTGTGGCGCTGTAGTCACCACTACTGGTCCAACCTGGGCAGGCTGGCCTGGGCCACCAGACGTGGAACCCGGTTGTATACCTGGACCTGTTCCCACAATTGCTCCACCTTGCGATGCCTGCTGCGCCTGCAGTTGAAGTTCATGATGCTGATGGGATTCAATTATTGCTGAAAGGTTCATAGCAGCCGAATGGTCCAAGTGTTCATCGTGTTGATCGTGCTCCCCGTTGTTAGGAGTATTACGCGAATATAATTCGTACCAATAACGCGCCACTTGAAACAGAACCTCAGGATAAACCCCACCACCTTTGGCAGCGTTCTCTACTGTGATACAGGCTCTCTCTAGCATTTGGTCACTTTGCTCTTTGCACTGCAAAATAGCTCGCTGGATTTCATTAGGGTTCAACGCCGCTGCATGCGGCAATACAGAAAGTGCTAATTCAGCCGCTGGATAGTTGCTATCCCAGCCGCGCGATGTACGATCAGCCATGTTAGCAGCTTCTGGCGGTGTTAAATGGCCCTCCCACGTGTCAATGAGAAAACTAATAGCAGGAGCGCCGATTTCCATTGCTTGGCCGAGGATCCATGACACATGCGAGGAGTACGTGCGCGATAACCAGTTAGGGCTAACACAGTTGTGTAAGCCTAAAGCATACAGACCCAACTGAAAGGCGCACATGTGTAAGCCACGATGAGGGCCATGATGATTGTGATTAGCCGTTGCTTGTGTGAACAGTGACGTTGAGGAATTGCCACCGGCTTTAATCAAGACGTTCTTTGCCAATTCAAACATAAAATGCGCGCTTGCTTCTGACGGTTGGTTCGGTATAGAGGGATACGCACGTTTGCCTTTATATCGACTATCCTTGGTGCGGCTAATAGTAGCGTTAGGAGTTCCTAACGCAACTCCACCTGGTATACCTTGATGATTACTAGACGCTCCAAGTAAAGCGGCGTTACCAGGCGAAGAAACATTCAAGCCGACCATACTTACTTCTAATTCAGCGCTTGTAGAACTAGTAGGACGGCTATTACCCCCGACAGACCCGTAATCAGGAGGAAACATATCCAGATTTCCGGTATTATGTGAAGTTCCAATACCGGCATTATTACCATGTCTGCCGTATTCATTATTTCCAGACCTATTAACCGAATTCGAAGGTGTTCTCACAGGAGCGTTATTAGAATAATAGGCTGGTAACAAAGGCGTTTTTAGCAACGTATGTATTTCACGGTCGAGTAATTTTTCCATTATTTTGGCTATCTTTTGAGGTTCGTCTTTATAAAAGTACAGAAGCGTCAGAGCTAGCTCTCCTCGCTGACGACGTGTTCCTTCACATAGCAACGGATGCTCGGCTTCGGAAACATTAGCTTTTAAACCCAAAGCCGCCACTGCAGCTTCAAAGCCCAAGTTTTCATCGCTTATCGGCCGGTAAATACTCATATTGCGTATTCGCTGATCTTTCATTGACACTGAAGGCATAACTAATGCATCGAAAATGTATGAAGCTAAATTAATTGGCAGCAAGGCCTCGCCCCGTGATTTTAATGCACCATTGCGCAAACGTTCGGCTCGATCCCGTATTACTTCCAATTCTGGCTCATTAATAGGAATTTTCTTTAACAAAGCCAGAATATCAGCCTCTTGGTTAGCCAGTTTAACTTCCAAAGGTTTAGTGCTGGCTGGAGGTCGGGGCATCTCTAAAGCATAAATACAAATCCGAAAACCAATGTGATAATGTTCCGAATTTTCTGACAGCACGGTACAGAGAAACGCACATTTCGTAAGAGTCGCAGAAGCCAACACTGTCAGGTGATGTGAAATAGGATTAACATTTTTATTTTTACCCTTGCGTTTAGGAACAGGAGGCATTTCCACCATTAAATTGGGCGGATTTGCTAGCATTTCTTCCGCTAAACGTACTGCCAATATACAGGCTTCCCGTCCATGACCATGAGCATGTAAGCCTTCTGCTCGAGCTAGAAGAATATCCCAAGCATCATCAGAAGGACGTATATTGGAAAATATGAAAGGTTTATCTGCACTTGCAGTGGACGTCGGTATAGCCACTGAAGCAGCCATAGCTTGCGCTGAAGTAGACGGACCGGAAAAATAACCGGCTGGAGTCGAAGAGTTTGTTTTAGTGTAATTGGTTCCTGTATCATTTAGTGCTTTCGACGTTATTACAGTGACACCCGTTTTCATCAAAGCTGCCCTAGAGGCAGCTGAAGTACTAGGCACTGGTGTTAGATCTTCGGCTAGACGCTCAGGCATTTCCTGAGACACATATTCGTCGCTAGATGACGAAAATGATTCTTCCTTAGAGAGCCGTCTAACATCTGTGCTAGAAAGTGGTTTTTCTGATGCTGACGCAATTTGAGACTCAGTTTCTGCAGCCACCAGTAATGAAGTTGACGACGAATTTGATGATGATGACGAAGTTGTGGATACAGATGAAGACTCGGAGAGTACAGCAGTAACTGGATTATTAGTAGGTGTTGTTGGGAACGAAAGTCCTTGTTTTCCTTGATCGCTTACACTCGCATTTGGAGGGCAGACTATAAACGGCTGTGAAGGATCTGTGGCTGAACGATTCGAGTGTGATTGATTAACATCGTTTGAAGACGCCATAGCGGGATTAATTGTGCAACCTCCCGTTTCCGAACCGCATAAATTGTTACTGCTGCTGTCGCCACCAAAATCTTCATTTTCACAAAAACCTTCGCTACTAGCGCTGGAGCGATTGCCATCTGGAGGTTCTAGAGGAGGTGGGGAATTGGGAATTGGCCTCATTCTCATTGCTGCTATGAATGCTTCTTTATCAATCTCCAAATAATTTCCAGAGTTTCCATTGATGTTATTAGTGGAAAATTTGTTTTCTGTTCTTGCGGATGATGCTACATCGCCGCTAGATCTACTTACAGATGAACCATCCAAGCCGTGTTGTAAACGGGCGTGCACACTATCGCTCGAAGAATTGCTAGAATTATTGCTAGATGATATATAGAAACGCTCCCGAAACGGTCTTTCAAGACGCTGTTTGAATCCTCCGTGCACGGCCAGGTCTGACGAAGTACTTATATAGTTATAGTGTTTGTTATTTGCCATAAGAGCTTGAGTAGCATTCAGTTGACCACCGTTCGATTCAAACTTGCTTTCCGTATGTTTAAAACAAGCGAAAGGAGAGTAGTAAATTGGATTAGTTTCATGAGTATGAGTTACACCAGCTATGGGATATTCTTCCCAATCTAAGTAACATGCTTCAATGGCCGGTTTAAAGCCCACAAACATTTCCGCATCTGAACGAGCATTTTGCTGATGTTTGTTGTTATATGATGAGGGTATGATGCGACATTTTACAACGCGATCTAGAATTTTCAGATGCCATGACGTAAATTGAGCATGTAGCATATCACGCTCATCGGGCGCCAGACCGGGATTAAGAGCAGCCAAACGCCAAAGAACAACAATTTCGTCAAACAAAGAACTGCTGGCATGCTCAATAGCTTTTGAATTACTATGAGTGTTTGAATGTTTTCCGCCACTGTGGCCATGTGAGCCCATCATTAGAGACAGTTTTGTTTGATACCACCATAAGAGTAATTGGTCGCAAGCCATACATTGTTCAGTGATAATTTCAAGTAAACGTACCGCGTTGCGATCACATCGCCGGTACATTTCACGAACTATAGACAACAGATTCCACATGCCTTCTGGTTCACGGCCACGTAATGGCCGTAGTAGGGAGCTCCATTCTGTAGCAGCTGGTGGGGCAGAATTGGTGAGATAATTTACATCGCTGCAAAAACGAAAAGCAAATAAAAGCGTCAATAACTAACACTTACGATTGTTTTTGGCTAACCACTACTTGCCTATAAACCATCGGGGCTGGCATTACAAATTTTATTAAAATACGTTTAATATTCTCATGCAGGGTCTTTTCGTCTAAATACCAATTAGTCTGATCATTTATTGATGCACCTGCCGTAGGATCAGGAGCCCCACACACTGTATTTATGGCAGTAGGCTGTTCACTTAGCAATTCATCTAGTAAACGTTGAGCTGTAGGCAGTATTTGTTGTGGCAATTCGCTTATTAAATATTGTGCGAATTTTTGCAGTTGATCGCGTTGCAACCGGGTCAATGATTCTGAAACGGGCGCCCTTAAACATACCTTCAACGGCTATTAAAAACAATAGTTAAAGGGAAGGAAAAATACCGATTGTACATAATTAACATAAAATTACACTTATATATTACTATACATGTACATGTTAATAATTGTTATTAATATTTACACAATGTATACGATGTAAACAAACGGCCACCACATGTGAACACCAATATGCTGTTGAATTGCAAGTGCAATTGCATGACGATATACGCCGTCTATCAAACGTTACCGCTACATTATAATTCTGGTTAGGTGTCAAGCATACGACCGTAGCGGATAGATGAAAACCTTTACATAATGTAAAATATGAAGGGAAACCATTTTCTCAACATTTTTAAGATTTTTTACCTATTTGTAATGGCTCCTTAACAGCTCCTGATTTAAATAATTGATCGCCCCGATTGAATTCATCCGATGAGCTATTAGCTAAACAAGAGTAAAGACGTATATCTTCCTCATTATCGGGGAAGCTCCAAAACGCAATGCGTAATTGTAACTGTTCCGGGACGGGTGGATAGACATGTTCCACCAATTCGAATGGTATATATGTAGCCACACATTTGGCTGCCAGTTCGGTGAGTGTGTAAACTTCTGAAAGACATGAACGGAAATTATAAGTAAACAAATAAAGTAAATTCTAAGAAAAAAACAATATGTCTTTTTAGTTAGCCTCGTCTCTTAATGAGAAACTGTGACAAACTTTTTGATTTATATGTCTACTTTTTCGCTCTCCATACTGTAATGATTTATTAACAAAAAAACAAAAAGGCGAAGATATTAATGATATAAAGGCGATATGAATAGATTTCCGTTTTATCAACACTGCCACTATCGATGTCGTCATCAAGTCGTGTACAGCAACAAAACAAAAAACGGAAGAAAAAAACAAGAACAAAAACAAAACAAAAACGGGTAACGAAATTATATTCACTTCAGGGCGAATCTTTGATCCACAACGCCTTAAAATAATACATTATAAACTAATCTGTTAAATGTAGATTTATCAGTTAGTCAGTCGAGTTAATTTTTACACTGACCTTTTAAGTGGTCCTGAAAATCAATATCTCTTAGAGGTTCTAAGTAGATGAATCATGTCCACTTGTTCACTGAAATACTTATTCAGTGAACTTGTTCACATTTAAATCCGATTACTGGTCATTAAGTATCTACTCCAAGCTTTCTTTCCAAATAATAAGCTTTCGCGAACAACAGCCGACGACGAACGTATGAACTGGAGATAATTCTACTTCAAGTTATCCTTTATATGGATTTTTAAATGTTACAAACATGAGGATAAATTTAATATATAGCAACGTTCTTTCAATGTTTGGTATAAAATGTAAGGAACTGACCTCTTCTTCTCCCCTAAATATGTGTTGGTGTTCGCTATATTTTACCCTTGTATATAACTATAATTCACATTGTTGTCTGACTCAGGTTATAACAAACACATTCATTTTTATACACTTACTTACGTATATGCCATATATAAAATATTTGCTAGTATATTGGTAGATATAATATATTATAATACATATCGAAGATAACATTTTGTTATTGTCAACGAAATTTTAACAAATGCAACGAATACAGGAAAGGAGCATGTTGATCTCACAATAATGAAAATGCTTATGCATGAATACCCGCTAAAAGAAAGGCTAAGACAAAAGGAAACCTTCCGAATATGCAAATTACAAAAACCACATTCGATTGAACACTTGACACAACTCGGCATTGTTTATAAAGGAAGGGATATTAGGTTGTTTAAAATATATTGCGTTTTCTAGAGATCAAAAAAATTTTTTATTTATATTCAGAGAGAGCCTGCTGATTGTCGTTACATTCGTAATCAAATATATGAAAAATAGAAAAAAAAATTTTATCGCAAGAAATCCCAAATTATTATATGTATATATAAGCAGAAAACTTGGTATTTTGGGCGATATATCCATTCAGGTAAATTGGGATAGATAAAAATATTTACAATAATTCTATTTAACGAATCACGTAAAACGAACAACGTAGAAACCAAACATAGGCGTACATTGTCCACATTTTTTTTTGTCAAATTTCCGATTAGGGGTCAATTTTCATCATAGCATAATAAAACTTAAAAAACCAAAATTTTCGGGAAAATCCTTTCACAGGCTAGGATCCATAAATAGGTCGAGGTGGTCCAAATTTTTTAGAACTTATTTTTATGTCCAATAACTACAATGGATTAATTTGCCTCATAACATATTAAACTTTAGATTTTTCTGCCCTATAAAGGATCAAGTTTCAAGAAAATTCTTATATAGGATAGGATCCAAAATAAAAACCGAGATTGTCCACATTTGGTACAGTTAATTTTTTTTACAATAAATTACTATTATGAGTTGATGTTCATCATGAATCATTGAAATGCATATCTTTTTATCCTATGCATACCTTCTTATCCAATTTAAAGAACCGAAAGGCTATTACTTAGCCACTCTTGCCGAGAAATTTTGAAAATTACAATTTTTCCTATATAATAGAATTTTCAAAATAGAACATTATATGGGAAGTAGACGAAAGAGTGGACAGATCCGTGTTCGTCCTTAGGTCAAAACACGTCAGTGTATCCAATTTCACACAAGAAAACAAGACGGACAGATAAGCGGCTGCAGCATAACAAAAGATGGATGTATCTCAAGACCTTTTAGGCGTTGCATACATTCACCCAAGCTTAACATATACTTGTTCCACAAGTAGTGTAGGGTATACATGAAAAAACTGAATCTACTATCTAAAATAGGTATTCAATGAAATATTGCTGCACACAAATATTTTTTTAATTATTTTAAATATTCAGTGAGGGCCCTGCGAAGCTCCTCGATCCAAGCGATATTGTGCTAGGAGTACATATAAGTTTCCGTCTATCTAAAATTAGGCAATTTATTGTAGTGTCCATCATTGTCCACTATCTTTACCCATGTTACTGGCAGCATTCGGATGCTTCGTGAGAAGAACTCCTCATCTATTAAGGCTATAAACGAATCCATGAACCAATTTTTGGTATCTTCATATGATGTAAAGTGCCGCTCAGATAGGCCATATGCCAGCAACACGAATAAGTGATAATCGAAAGCAGCAATGTCTGGCTAATACGGCGGCGGTTAGGGTAGGACATTACAGATTCGAATTTCAGACGTTTTCTGGACGACTTTTGCTTTATGCGTTCAAATTTCTTCATATTGAAAACTTTTGGCTTATCACGGCCATCTTTGTCTCAATTAGTTCAATTATTGTCGTTAGCACTCCTTAGTGATGGTTTCATTTGGTTGCAACTAACCATAGTACATGGCGCACTGCCAATACCCTTCGACCTTGTGGCCGCCATGGATATTCGTCTTGATCGTCGATTTTAATAGTTGTCCTACTTTTCATTATTCATAAAGGCTTAGCAGTATCATCTTTTAAATGAACCAGGAAAAGTAAACTTTGCCGCAATCTATTAAAACGCAGTCACTTCTTTCCGCCTTATTTTTAATACACAAAGGTCAAAAAAAAAATTTTTTTTTTCCAAGTACGAATTTTCATCTTTCATATGCACGATTATAAACCCATTTAATAACTGATTTATTATGTGCTTGAAGGTCGAAAAATCAGTCTAACGCGAATGTAACATTCCCGGTTGTCATACCACAACACAAGTGATAAATAAATGATTGGTCAACGTGAATATTTACAGCTTGTTGAAATCTTACAGCTTTACTTACTTAAATAAATTAAGTGTGAAAATGTTTTTGTTTTCGCCCGATCAACATCTACAGAAATAACCCAATTTTCTTAAAGTAGAACGTAGGAAGGACGGACGTAGCGATTTTTAACGCGAAATCATTCATTGAAGCTTGATATATATATATATTTTTTTTTTTTTTTTGCACAACCAGATCCAAACTGGAAGAGGCAACTGCAACGGGATGTTTTTGAGGTGTTTTCAAGTAAATTAGAAAAAGCGATAAACGATCAATTTGTGGCGTCTTTAATATTAAAAAAAAAAAATTTCTCCATTTTCTGAGACCAGCTGTGCAAAAGGTATTTTCCTCTCAACGCATTTATGATAAATATGTTTTCGAGTTCAAACTGCAATAGCAAATGAATTCACATATGCATAAGCAATTTATAATAGATTCTCAGCCTATGAGTGCCTAACAATCAAATCATGATTTTAATCAAAACAACAATACAAACAATGAATTTTTAATGTAACGTTTGCACAGTACTATATATATTCGCTTGTGTACATGTATATATGCAGTGACATATATACATCATAAGTGCAAGCCATTGTCGCAGCGAGCACTTATCACAAAACGACCGTTGAACGTTACAAAAAAGTTCATTTGGCGGACATTCGGAATGTTTTTTTTTTTTTTATTTTGTGTTTTTTTTGTCTTTTTTTCTGTTTTTCTATTTTTTTTTTTTTTTTTTTTTTTTTTATTATTGTAATTTCAATAAAATTTTTCTATTTATTTACGTTCATTTATATCATACCACCAGACCGTCATTGCCAACGCCATCATCATTATCATCATCGTCATCAACATCATGAACATTAATAATGCCGTTGATGATAAATTTACTGTAACGATAATTGCTTTGAAATAACAACAGTATGTGATGGTAACAAAGAAAGGTATTTACTTTTTTTATGTATGATATTAAGTGATGTACAATATACGAGCGTAAGTGTGTAAACATAAGATATGTACTCAAATATGAAAGAAAAAGGGGGGAAAAAAAAGGAAACGAGGAAAGAACAAGAAAGAAATTATGTTCAGTTCAGGCCGAATCTTTTAATACCAGCACAAGAGAGAAAGATAGATAGTGAGAACATCGATCTGCTCGTAGTACACCATAATAACTTTCTTAAATTTTTTTAACATATTTAGTTTTTTTGTTGGCATAGCCCCTTATCTACATATTTCCCCCTGTTTGCCGATAATTGATCCCGATTTGGATGATTTTTGAACAGAAATTTTTGAGTAAAAAAAAAAAAAAAATTAAATATATATAAGATTTAATTAAAAACTCATAGATGTAAGCCTTAACGAAGCTTGATACTTAAATTTTGCTGTTTGGACGCACCTATGGACTCATTTTACTAAGTTTCAAACTTATCCCGATGAGGCCGATAACTTTACTCTCTAGATAATATTTTAACGCCATAATAGTGAGGCATTGACTACGACAATAGACAGGCAGCTATGTCTAAATCGATTGCGTTTCTCACATTTTCAACGGTCCAAGAGACGACAAACAAAAGGACGGACAGATGTACAAATCGATTCTGCTATTTGCGCTAATTGAAATAATATATGTATATATATATATATATATATATTCTATAACTATTTATTTTCTTTATAATATCCCCGATGCATATGTGTATCCATTGGAACTCTAAATTATATATGTACAATATTTATTCTTGGGTGGGTGAGTGGGCTTTCGATCACCAACGAATCACAATACTTAATAGTATGAAAAACCCAAACTTTCCAATCGAAAAAGAGCGAGGGGAAGAAGATATGTAGTGAGAATGGTGCCAGTATGTCTGTATG